ATGTTGAGTCCAGAATTCCGATCCCCGAGGAAAAGCAGAAAGGACGAGAACAGAGACACTGAAATCCAGCAGAGGCAGGTTTATTCAGAAACCCACATGCTGGGGCTCAGCAGTACTCAAGACTGAGAGCCCGATTGTTCACAGGCAGTAGTTTTTATACATTTTACAATGCCCTTCCCCCAGCGGAATGCTCCCTCTGTTTCCTATTAAGACCACCCACCCCCCCAACTCCAGGAACTGATAAGCACATTCTTGGTAGGTGTGTTAAACATTTGTCTTAAGTCAACAGGCTCTAAACCCTGGAAGGCAAAAGGGCTGTAGGGCTCACGAAACAAATGTTTTGACTTTCTGTTAAGCGTCTTTTAACATCCCCACTTCTTTGTGTTAATAATCTTAATCGTAAGATTATAAACCCGGATCCTCGCGTGAGAGGGCCTCATACTGTTGACGGATGATCATAAGTTTGACTTGTCCTATAAGGTCCTGAACAAAGGAAACTAATCTGTTAATGATGCAGGGGCCAATAGTCACCAGGAGAAGGAGTAACAAAAAGCGGCCTGCCAGAACAGAAAGCAGAGTAGTGAGCCAGGGAGAAGAGGAAAACCAGGATTGGAACCAGTTTTGCTGGGACCGGAGCTCCCGGTCTCTTTCCGCCAATCTTTGACGGAATTTGGCCATGGAGTCCTCTATGACCCCTGTTTTGTCAGCATAGAAACAACAATTTTCCTTTAGTGCAGCGCATAATGCCCCCTCTTTCATAAAAAGCAGGTCTAGTCCCCTTCTATTCTGGAGGACTACCTCTGAGAAGGAAGTCAAGGAATCTTTTAAGGCTGAATTAGATTCCTCTAAGGCTTTTAGATCCTGATTAATCATGAGAAGTCGGTGAGCTGCTGTTTGCCTTGGACCAAGGCAGTGGCCCCTGTACCGATCCCTGAAACCACGTCCAGGCTTAACAGAACTGCTAGGGTTAATGAGACAGGTTCCCTGTGCACCCTGTGGGTGCTTTTCCAGGCGATCTCGAAGTTGCTAGATGTATAGTATAATATCCGGGGGTAGAGGTTGACCATAATGCAATAGTGCGCGGAGTTGTTGAATTGTTGTGTGGAGATACACGGAGTAAGTCCCGTGTCACAGGCCCACCAAGCCCCCTCGGCAGGAGCAACAAAGGAGGATGCATTCTCCTGCACAGGGAAAGTGCAGGAGCAGAACTGTTGTAAGTGGGCGGGCATAGTCCCTACACAAAGACCAGTACCTGATATCTCGGTTAAAGTCAGGCGATGTTCTTTACTCCAGTCGCATCCATTGTCCCCCTTATAATGGGGAGTGCCATTTACAGCCGTTCCCTCGTAATAAGGGGGGGAAGCTGACAAACAAAGCCAACAGGAATCGGTAACCGTGGCCTGGGACTGGTTTGAAACAGCATAGGCCCCTTGAATTAAGGAAAATAGGGTGGGTGGCTGCCGGGTGCAGTCTCCCTTGGAGGCGTGGGTGGCTCCAGTCTCTTTGGGGGCGTAGGTGGCTGCCGGGGCATCGCATCGAAGCAGGGACTGTAGGGAGACACCTTAGGGGGCGTAGTTGGGGAAGGGGACGAAGTGTGAGGGGATTGGGGTGGTGATCAGGGTGGTGGTGGTCTAAGGACAGGATTAGGGCCTATCTGGTGATTTGAGGATAGAACCTGGAGACGTATGGTGAACCAGAAGCCATCATCTGCCCCTCCTTATAAAGACGTAGTCCCCGTGTCTGTCCTTTTAGCCATGTGGTAAGTGTGGAGGGCAACGTCCCCGAAGGGGTAAAAGTTATATTTAGCTGATTGCATAGGATCTGGGTGGAGCAGTCGGTCTTTTTACTGTTTGTCTTTCTTGTAACTCGTATCCAGTCATGGCTGGAACTGGGTTTCCAATAGGCTTCGCCAGTGGTCTCGTATCCCCATTTTGCGCAGTACAGGGACTCTGGACCCCTGCACTTTCGTGCCTATTCTCTTGATCTCCTGTCTTTTGGACAGACATAGAACTCTAGGCTATGCAATTCACTGCGAGCCTGGGGAGTTGAACAACCATACCATGGGGGTGGATTGATGGACACCCTCCATAGCAGGGAACTGGGATCTTCCTGATCAGGTATGTCCCAAGTGTCAAGACCCATAAAGAGTTGGCAGAGGTCAGGGTTAAGGGCTGGCCACCATGACCCCGGGGTATGGGTACTGGTGAGGGACCATATGACCTGTCCAGTGGGGTTAATGACCTGCCAAGTCAACGTCAGGGGGGCATGGATATTGGGCCCCGAGCTACTTAGCACTCTGCCGGCGAACTCGGATCTTGAGAGGAGTAGGAGTCCGTTTCACAGTCCATAGATGGCTAGCAGGTGGGAGGGAGGGCTTGAGATGCGAGGCGTGGATCCATGCGGCAATGCCATCGACCTTGAACGCAGTTGGTGTAGTCAGGAGCACCTGGTACGGACCCTTCCAACGTGGCTCCAGGTTCCGGACTTGATGTCTCCGGACCAGCACCCAGTCACCTACAGAAAATGAATGAGGGAGGACAGAGCCCACACGATATGAGTCAGCCAGATTTTTCCAAATATGGCGTTGGACGGCTTTCAGAGCGCACAGGCGAGTGGTCAATACTTGGGGAGAGGCGGAATCTGATACTAACCCCAGAGCGTCCCCCGTCATGAGCTTTAGGGGTGGAGGCCCGCCGAACAAGATCTCAAAGGGGGTCAGATTTTTACGCGAGGGGGAAGGGGTGTTCCTTACACGGAAGAGGGCATAGGGCAGGAGCATCACCCAGTCTTTGTCACCAGTCTCCAAGGCTAATTTTGTAAGATCTTTTTAAGAGTTCTGTTCATCCTCTCTACCTGTCCTGAACTCTGGGGCCGATATGCACAATGTAATTTCCAATTGAACCCCAGTGTCTTAGCTAACCCGTGGCTTATCTGAGCTATGAAGGCTGGCCGGTTGTCAGACCCTAAAAGCTTGGGTAGGCCGAAGCGAGGGAAGATTTCTTCCAGTATTTTCTTACATACTGTTAAAGCCGTCTCCTTCTTTGTCGGGAAGGCTTCCACCCATCCTGAAAAGGTGTCCACAAAGACTAGGAGAAATTTGAAACTGTAACGAGCTGGCGTTACCTCAGTGAAGTCGACTTCCCAGGAGGAGCCCGGACAATCTCCCCTCTCTCTCCGACCAGAGGGGGTATCTGAAGAAATTGGGTTAACAACAGAACAGGCAGTACAAGAGTGAGCAATTTCTTTAGCTAGGGAATGAGTGCGTCCAGGAGGGAGGACCGGAAGCTGTTGGTCTTCTAAAAGCTGGAGCATAATTCTGGACCCCAAGTGGGTGAGGCGATGGACGGTCATTAGGAAGAGGCGAACTTTTTCTTCTGCAGCAAGGAGTGGCTCCGGGGTGGGGGTAGAAGTACATACCTCAGCTGTCACTACCAGGACAGAGGCCAAATCCTGGAGAGCTGCCGCTCTCACCTCTTCATCAGCAAGCCGATTTCCCACAGTTACTGGGTCCGAGCTGGTCTGATGAGCCGGACAGTGAATAATGGCGAGTGCCTTTGGTAGGTGAACCGCGTCAAGCAAGTCTATGATTTCCTATTTGTTTTTAATGTCTTTTCCTGCCGAGGTGAGGAGCCCCCTTCGACGATAAATGGCTCCATGGATGTGAGCCGTGGCAAACGCATCACGACTGTTAGTGTAGATGTTCGCCCGTTTGTTCTCAACTAGGTGAAGAGCCCAGGTTAGTGCAATCAGCTCTGCCTTTTGAGCCGAGGTACCTGGCGGCAGAGGTGCTGACCACATACATCGGACTCAGTTAATACCACTGCCCCCGCCACTCTTGCCCCATTGTGTAAGTCGCTGCTCCCATCAGTAAATAGGACCATATCAGGGTCCCCAAGACGTGTGTCCTGTAAATCTGGACTTGTCCCGGTTTCTTCAGCCAAAATATCGTGGCATGAATGCAGGACTGGCCCCTGGTCAGGTACGGGGAGCAAGGTGGCAGGGTTTAGGTGGACTGGATTTCCAAACCGGATACGGTCTTTGTCCAAAAGCAGGCTCTGATAGTGGGTAATGCGGGCATTAGAGAGCCACCTGTCTGGAGGTTGGCGGGCCACACTCTCAAGAGCGTGCGGGGCTATTATGGTGGTGCATTGTCCGAAAGTCAGTTTATCTGAGTCCTTGAGCAGCAGTGCTGTTGCTGCGATAATTTTTAGGCAACGTGGCCAGCCAGCAGCCACAGAGTCTAGCTGTTTTGAAAGGTAGGCGACCGGGCGTTTCCATGGACCTAAGGTCTGTGTCAAAACGCCCATGGCTACCCCCCGTTTTTCGTCCACAAACAAGGTGAAGGGTTTGCTAACATTTGGTAGGGCTAAGGCAGGGGCACCGAGTAATGCCCACTTCAGGTCATCAAATGCCCGCTGTTGGGATTCTCCCCACTCATATGGAGTCCCCTCTTTTGTGAGGAGGTAGAGGGGAGCTGCCAGATTGGCAAACCCCGGGATCCATAACCGACAAAACCCGGCAGTCCCCAGGAACTCTCGGAGTTTTGTCTGGTCCTAGGAGGCGGAATCTGGGTCACTGTTTGTTTTCTGGCCTTGGTCAGCCACCTCTGTCCTTGTTCTATTCGATATCCCAAAAAGATGACCTTAGTGCGGCAGAGTTGAGCCTTTCTGATTGAGGCCCGATATCCTAAGGTAGCTAGAGTAGAGAGCAGGGCAAGCGTACCTTGTTTACAGGTTGTGAGATCTTCAGCCGCCAAAAGTAAGTCATCGACATACTGTAAGAGAGTCAGTTCCGGATGGGCTACCCGGAAATCATGAAGGTCCCGGTGGAGAGCCTCATCAAAAATGGTGGGAGAATTTTTAAAACCTTGAGGGAGCCGGGTCCAGGTCAATTGGCCTGAAATACCCACCTCAGGATTGTTCCATTCAAAGGCAAACAGTGACTAGCTACCTGGGTGTAGGCGCAGGCAAAAGAAGTCTTTTAGATCTAGGACTGTGTACCACACCCGGCTGGGATCTAAGCTGCTGAGTAAGGTATGAGGATTCAGGATGGTGGGATGAATTGTCTCCACCCTGGAATTGACTTCCCGCAGGTCCTGTACAGGCTGGTAATCATTGGAGCCAGGTTTCTTGACTGGAAGAAGGGGGTATTCCAGGGGGATTGACATGGAACTAGGATCCCTTGTCGGAAACAAGACTGAAATATGTGGCCGAATCCCTTGTCTGGCTTCCTGGGACATATAGTATTGTTTTACCCTGATAGGGGTAGCAGAAGTTTTTAAAGTAACAATTATTGGAGGTTGTTCCACGGCCATCCCTATTCCAGTGATTTCCGCTCAAGCCTCAGGGGCTTGGTGTGTCCAATAAGAGTTGTCAAGTAATGGCAGAGGGTCCTCAAATAACCTAAACTCATCTCCGGCATCAACAGTCAAGGTTTTTATCAGCAAGGGGGGGGAGGCCTGGGAAGTGGTCTTCAATGGGGACAAGAGATCTACGGCTGGATTTAGGAATTCAGTAAGTGGCTGATGTTCCGTGAAGGTGATTCAGGCCTGGAGCTTAGTTAGTAAATCCCTTCCTAGTAGAGGTAACGGGCAATCAGGCAAAACCAAGAAGGAGTGGTGAATTTTTCCTCTACCTATATCCATAGTCTGAGTGGTTGTCCATGGTCTGTATCTACTGCCATTTGCCCCCCTTACCAGAGTCCTTTTATCTGATAAGGTGCCAAGAGGCCGTTGTAGCACA